TGATTTGAGGTATCTTTATACTCAAAACATCTTTGATAGTTTCTCCAGTGTCATATACCGACGGTATATCACTTTCTACAAATTCTCTCTTAAATTATAACTCAGTGTGAATTTCATCCCATTTACCCACATTCTCTCCCATTTGTCCATTTGTATTTATAAAGTAAATTCATAGCCCATTTTATCATGCAAATTTTAACTTGTTCTTCAGTTTCATACCTTAATAAAAGCTTATACATTTTTGCAATTGCATGTTCATCATTTGTACATAATTCATTTCAAATTGTCTTATGTTGAACGATTCCAATTTCCCTTTTATCTATATTAAATCTTTCTCTTGATTGTGCATATGGAAACCATAGGAAGCTATATCCCTCTGCAGTCAATTGTTCTCTTGACTTCATCTTAAGTTTTCCCTCTTCCTGTATTAATAAATCCTGGTATGTGATCCATTTCTCTCAATCTGCTGTTTCTTTTCTAGAAAATGCTTCCTGTGCTGAGACCCATAAAGGTATGATAGCTTATCATATTTTGAACATACTGTAAAGTAAAAAGCAACATCTGTAGAATTGCTTATTCTTCTGCCTGAAAATAACATTAGAATTGGGTTTTGAATGAAACTAAGTTTAATTTGGACATAATGCTGTACTGTCCTTGGTTTTAAGCATACACTACATAAAATTACTCTTATTATTAGATGTGAAACTATTTTTTTCTGTACTATAAACATATGATGTAGAAATAATTATTTAGATTTATCTTAAATTAATGGAAGGGAAGAAGAAACAGTATTTTTAAAAGACGTATAAAATAGCAAGCTAAAATGAATTCTTGCATGTGTTCTTTAAATATTATCCTGGTTGCTTAGCTTGAAAAGATACACAGCTGGGAGAAAGGAAGATAGGGCACATCAAGAAACAGTGCTTTGTGTTATAATTTCCTTCTAAAAACTCTTCCTTTTTTCATTGTGAAATCCAAAAATAATGATCATGGGGATGATAATGATAATAACAGTAATAATAACATAATAATATATAAAGAAGCAATGTAATTTTATCAAGTCAGCTTCTGGTTGGGTTTTTGATAGCCAGATGACACTTGACTCAATTCTGCAATTTGACCTATCATGTCAATAAATGGTGTGTTAGCCAGGATACCAAAGTTGACTCACTTTTTCAATCACATGCTCTGAGGATGATGTAAGTATATTTTTGTGTTTCACTAGGAAGAAAATGTGTATCTCCAAAAGGAAAAAGCCAAATATGGCAATAAATTAGTCTGCTGTTGTGTCCTAAAATGGGATTTTTGATTGAGATTAATGAAGGCACTCTTCAGACAGGGTAGACCACATTGTTAGTGTAAAAATCCCTTAAATATATCTACTCCTGGACAGTTGGGTCTAGGAGGGAACCCACTAAGCTTTGGAAAGCTAAGAAAACATCCAATTCGGGGAACTTTTTTTCCACAAAAATGAGCTAAGTCAGGAGGTCAGTATGTGAAGAATTTCAGAGCTAGATGAATAGACCAATTCACAACATACCTTTTCTTTATATTTGCCATTTCATCTCAGAAGATGCAGGATTCTTCTGCATATTGATGTGGGGTCTTTTATACATTTTTATTCCATGCATTGCTAAAATATAAAATCCTACAATTTCTACATTCTGGTGTTACAGTTGCATGGTGTTGATGACAGTGATGAGGAAAGAGAGAGAGAGCATGCAAGATTCTCTCTCGAGGCATGAAGTATCCCTCAGTTAAAGTCTTCTGGTTCAGTTTATGAAGTTTTAGAAGCACCAAGAAAAATTAGGCAACTCACAGATACTGCTGAATGCCAGAAACAGTAGGACAAGGAGAAACATTTCCCTCGTCATGCCTCTTACCTTCCCTCTACATGCAGCTGATTTATACTGCAGGCATGGGGTGGGGGAAAACTCTATTATTGACCCTTCAGCCTGAAAACTACAACAAAATGGTATTTGGTTATGTAAGCATATGCACATAAGCAGTTTGAACATATTCTAGATTTTATATGCTCCAGGATAAGGAATTAAGTTTTCAACCTCTCCCCCTTTCTGCATTTTTAATGTATCAATTCATGGGAGAATATGCTTATTATTATTTTACAAAAATGAAAATCTTCTACCCTTTCCAAGAAACTTATTAGAAAAAGTCCAAGGGTTCTTAGCAATATTTTGCTGCACATGTTTGAAGAGAGAGGCAGAGTGGAAAGCTGTTTTCTGCAATCCTATCAAAACCATCCAGAGATTAGTTAGTTATTGGCTTCTTGTCTTTTGTCAGTAAGTGCACTTTCATTGCAGACAGCAGGAGACCATGCACTACAAGATCAATCACAGTAATGAATGTATCATCTTTATTGCCTGAAATCACATTTTAGATGTTTTAAAAAGTATTTCACTATAATACTGTACACTGGAAAAGCTCCCAAACAGGAACATTGCATCTGAGAAGCAAGCTGCTGAAAATAATATAATATGGATGGATAACCTCCCAGCCACCCCAGCCCATATCACAAATGATAAAGATCCTGGGAATAGAAGTTCAATTATTCCTGGAGATTCTCAGGTTGCCAAGTCCTGGATAAATGAATATAGGTAGTAGTGATTCCACAGGTTGTCTCATCTGGAAAATCTTCTTTTGCTTCTCAGATTCACTCCAAATGTTCTTCAGAGTTCCTAGGAAAAAAGGCATGAACTTGCAAAATAGTAATTCTATATAACTATGTTTTGATGTTCTATCCAGAAATCAGCATGTATATCTTTAAACTCCAGATCGTTCATTATCTGCCTGGAAATGCATTATCATTGATCACCATCTTCTAAAATAATCTCTCTCTCTCTCTCTCTCTC